CTGAAGCATCTGCAATGGTGACTTCCGCCTCAACTTCTGGCTCAATACTGATGGAGGTAATCTGCTTAACAATCTCAGAAGGACTCCGCAAGTCAATGAGTTGATTGTGGATTTTCATCTGGAAATGATCCCATGTCTTAGAACCTTTACCACAAGTAGTTTTTCTTGTAATGATTCTCAAAGTCTTGGGAGGCATTCGAACTGGTCATTTCACTTTGAGATTCTTTGCCTTTGCTCCTCTGATCAAGTCAGCACACACCTTCTCCAGGGATTTTACATTGCAGCTGATTAGAGTAATTCGAATTTGGTGAATTCCACCTCCAGCTCCATGGGTGTTTTTCCGGTGTCTTTAAAAGCCATGGCTGCTGCGTGGCTTCCTTACGAATTTGTTCCTGGGTGACAGCAAACAGCGGTGAGCCAGGAGCAGGAGCATGCAGATCAGGGATCCGCAACACCTATGACCGCGTCTTCCTCAAAGAGCAAAACTTAAACATTCTAACATTAACAGACTAAAATTAATTTGGGATGAAAGTTAAAATTTGTGCAGGGAATATTCTTTTTATGACAGAATGCCAGCAAAAACAAGTATATACTGATCATTGAGATAGACAATTTCCAATGTACAAACATAAATATAATAACTGACACAGGCAGGGGTGATTGATGATAAACTGTTCAGAGGAAGATCGTTAGAATACACAATACTTATACTTTTTCATGCCACTTTCCAAATTAATTATAAATAAGGTGCCTTTACAAGCGAAAGATCTCCTAGACCCCTCCTTAACCAAGTGATCAGTCCTAGTATCATGATAATGGCGACGGACAAACTGGATCTTCTCTGCCCGCAGATGGGCTGAGGTAGGAAACTCACAGTAGTGACTCTGCAGTGTTCCCAGCAAAACATTTAGGCTGAATTTAATCATGAGGACATTTTCAGATGTCAGAATGTAGAACATTGAGCCAGACAGCTGACCTGTCCTCTAGAAACAAGTCCATGTCACCACAATCAATGATAACAACAAAAAGATGAGGAGATACTTTGGGTTCAAAATAACTACAGAAGTGTAGCTACATTATCTTTCTATTCTTTTTAAACCCAAAATGTCTCTTCTCCTTTTTGTTGTGTGATTCGTGGTGACATGGACTGTGTGAAGGAGACAGGTCAGTTGTCCTGCTCAGTGTTCTACATTCTGCAGTTGTCTGGTGATTACCTCCTAAGAAACTCAGGCTAAGCGTTTTCAGCAAGAACACAGCATTGCTCATACTCTGCACTGGCAGAGTCCTAGGTGACACACTGTCTCCTGCCAGGAGCTCCTGAGTCCTGTTCTCTACAGGATAGGAATTGAGAGAAGCAGGGTTACAGCCTCTCAATGCTGTTTGTCCATGTGGGCATTGGTCTCCTTAGATACTGATCACAATTGATCACAATTGGAGGGGGAAGGGCTGTGGCTTCTCAAATCAAAGGGGCCCAGTGGGTTAAAATCATCAATAGCATTTCATGGTCTTAAGTTCACTCCTCAACAAAGGATCCCTGCAGTGTTGTGTTTGATCTTGAACTTGCTTTGCTGTTTTAACAAGTGAAAAAACTACTTTGATGACATCTTTTCATCCTTTTCATCCTTTCAAGTAGTATTTGGTACCTGTAGGGGAGAGGGAGAAAAAAATCAAATGAACATCTTTGTCTCATCCTGTCTGGTTGAGTCTGGAGGGACTGCTAAGTGGTGATAACCCAGGGGCAAACTGAGCTCCTGCTGGGAGGACCAGCTGAAGGCCAAGCCTCAGGCTGGCTGAAGTGGCAGGTACCATCCACAAGTGAGAAGAAACACCCCAGAACTTGCAGTCAGCCTGGGGTGCAGAATGTAGGGACCCCACCAGCAACTGGTAACATCAGTACCTTCCTTCCTGATTAGCTCTGTTTGGAGCAAAGTGATTGCTTTTCACACTTCCCAGTGAGGATGTGCTCAGCATCAACCATGCATGCTCAGAAACAGAGCACTGCAGAAGGAGAGGACCCTTTGCAGAGAAACCCACCCCCTTACAACACCATGTCCCAGTCTTTTAAGGGAGGAGTGGGAGGGGCCCGGAAAGAATCCTGGATGTGAGAACTAGCAGGGACCTCAGACCACATCTACGTCCAGTTCTGCCTTTCACAACACAGGATCAGTGATGCCACAGGGCTAAGATTAAACTAAGGCCACATGGGTTGCTATTAACCACCTGGGAACTACAGCCCAGCCTCAGGCCCTTTCAATAGCGTTTGGAAGGAGGGAGAATAAAAGCTCCAGTCTGGAGGTCTCAACAGTCATGAGAGGCTGTTGGGTCACCTTGGCTAGGACAGGAATAAAGTTTTACAAAGAAATATTATTTCATTGCTGCTTGTTTGGTTGGTTACAAATAAAACATGAAAAAAGAGAAATATAATCATAAGTATTCTTTCCAAGGGGCTCAGGGAAGAAAGGAAAAACAAGAGAGTCTACATGAAGTTAGCAAAGAGAGAGTGAGGATTGTAACCTTGGCCCAACTTATTTTCCCAATTCCCTGAAGTTGATTCCACACCTGGTTACACCTTAAGGCATTTTAGCAATATTCTCAATATCTAGACCAACAAAACTCTGAATCGAGAGGGACTCCCAAGACAGTAGCAGTGGGAACAGAGCAGAGTTCAGAGAGCAAAGAGCAGATGGAGATGGGAATGGAAGGACCTGGCAGGGTGGCAGCCCATGAGACACAGAGGTAAGACCAGTCAGACGTGATAGCAGTTGCTGGAGAGAACAAATAGGGAACAGAAAAGCAACGGGAGAATGAGCTGTCATCATAGACAGAAATAAGGAGCGAGTGCAGCTAACAGCCATAGATGTGATTACCTTCATACCCTAAGCTTGCAGGCCAGGGAATCTGCATGCCAGTCTCCACTTGCTGAACAGCAGTTTTCTTTTGATCATCTTTGGTTTTAGGACACTTGCAGCATGAATGTGGCCAATGACTTGATGCCCATGTGTGTTGTCAGCTGAGCCTTCAAGAGCATCACCTTCCAGCTGGGGAGGGTTCTTCATTCCGAGGGAAGGCTCTAAACCCAGTTCTGAAAATGAAACCACACCCAACAGCGTTCACTGTCATCCATGATCTTACTGTGACTTTCTCTTCCACCCAAGAGGAACATCAGAGAAGGAAAGCGGCCTTGGGCAAGAAAGTCCGAGGGGTAAAGGGAAGCCAAGGAAGACATTTTTGTATTTTCTGTATTGTTGATTTTTCATGCATCACCCAGTAATGACAAGATTGCCAGGAGGAAAAGGTGATCCCAATTGACAAACATATTCAAGAAACTTAGGATTAATAAACACAATAGCTTCCAGGTAGATACGGCAAAGGCAAGGAAATCACACTGGAAACAGGCTGTGTTTTGGGAGGGAGGAGATTCTAAAAATCAAGCAAAATCAATGTTAAATGAATATATGAGAGAAAAGAATTGGGAAGGCTAAACGTGGGATATTGATGAAATGATCATACATATATTGCATATATATACATTTTATTAAAAACACATGCCAAATATGCATAATGTATATGACAAATGACATAAATGCGTATATTTATATATAAAAATCTATTGGAAGAAATTACACAGGGATGTGGAAGATGTTGAATTAACATTATAATCACTAACATTATAATCTGGTCCATTGAAATTCAAAAAACTTTTAGAAAAATAAGACGAACGAGAGAGAGAAGACATGGTGAGAAACAAATGCCCTATTAGACTGCAGGGAGAAGTCACCAGGTAAAGGAGAATGAAACAAAAGGCATTCACTCTGTCCTCTTGCCTGGAGCCTGGTTAGTGCTCTGGACTCCTGGGAAAGCCAGCAGGTTAGAGTGTTGGAGCCAGAGAGGTGAGTCCTGACTGGGAATCCACGGAGAAGCAAAAGAGACATCAGTGGGAAGAAATCAGTTTAAATACTAGAAGTTATCAGGGCACGTCAGGGACTATGCATCCCCCGACACTCACTGAGCATCTTCCGTGTGTCTTCTGCAGGGACCCAGATGGTGCTCATTACCTCACGTGACCCTCCCTCCTCCTGAGGACTTGGGTCTCCTTATTCCTCAGTTGAGGGCATTGCCTGACAGATGAGCACAAGGCAGCCTCGGGGGCTCCAGGAGGAGATATTGAGTAGGACAGAGAGTAGGATGAACGCGACCCGGGTTTTAAGGAAATCTGAGCAGAAGTGGATCCCTGTGAGAACCAAACTGAGGATATGACTGTGGACGTGAGTGGAGATGATGAACTAAATGGAGTTTCAGAAAAGACACAGATTTGTACACTTTCCATGAGAAGGTTGCCCTTTTATTCCTTTATTTCAAAATGAGGGGAAGAAACAGAGCAAGAAGCTGGATATGCCAGGCAACTGACTTGCGGGCCCAGGGTTTGCGCTTTTACTGAATGTGCCTAATATGTTGTTACTGAAAGTGCTCGATAGCGGAAAATTGACTTAAAAAGGGATGCTGACGAAGAGGAAGAAAACTGGCAAAAGAGACTTTCTAAGAAAACACAGGAAGGGGGTCCCTAGAAAGTAGAGATCCTAACAGTTACTCCTCCTCAGATGAAACTGCATGTGAAGTCATGTCCTAAATGCTAATTTATCAGAAAGATAACAGAATTAGATAACATGTATTCATAGATTTATTGAGTAATTTTTATTGAATTAGCCCTTTGGAAATTATCATAATTAATGCTATCAACAATGATTGAATGTAGATGTTATTTTTCAGGCCTCTCAGATGACAGAACTGAGATGTAAATGCCAACACCACAAATGACTTGGCCGAGGTGAATAATGAGTAAGGGTTAAACCCAGGACCTGAGAGCAGATTTCATCCTAAACCCCAGGCTCTCGCTCACCTCACTGGGTTGGAACATTGTGGATTTCTACTTGACTCTGAGGGAGCACGAAGAGACCCCATTGCCTCCTCCCCTCACAGCACCATGACCACCATCACCCGGATTAGAGCTTCCTGGTCCCCTTTCCTTCCCTACCTTGGAAGGGCCATTGCTTCCCAGCATCAGCATTGGCTGTGAAGCTGCAGGTGGTGGAGGAAACGCCCTGCCTGGCTAAGCCATAGCCACAGTCAAACCCTTGATCCAGCTGCAGTCGCAGACAATTGGGCGCCAGGGTTCTCAGCCCTGGCTGTGCCTGTGAAGCCTGCACCTCTGACAGGTGGTGGCTCAAGTCTCCGCTCCAAGGTCCGTAAGGACAGTCCGCCTGGGTGGGAGCTGAAAGGAGAAGGGGTTTCAGTAGGAACGCTCTCACTTTTCCCTTTGTTAATCATGCCCAGAACACCCATCTCTGGTGTCCCTGGCTCTGAGGTAAAAGCCACCCAGTGGCCCAGGCCACAAAGACAGACATCATGTAAATGGGGTGATGTCACTTTCTGTCTGTGCCCGGGGATGCTGAGATGGAAGGTACCCAGGGCTGGATGTCCCTGAAGTGAAAAACCCCCACTTCAGCCCAGACGGCTTTGGATTGGCTAACAAGGCCATGCTGATTATTCTGTTATTATTAATCTCCATCCTGCAGCCTAGAAAGAATGTTCTAGAGAGCCTTCAGAGCATAGGAAATGCTGTTTTTCTCAACACACAGGAGTATAAGAACAGGGGAAGACTCAGAGCCTCCAGGCTTTGGGAAGGAACCATAGAAAAGGGTTTTGGGACACTGTAGACCAGCAGTCTCCAAGCTTCTTTGCCCCAGGGACTGGTTTCGTGGAAGACAATTTTTCCACAGACCAGGGGTGGTGGACATGAAAAGAGGGGGATCATTTTGGGATGAAACTGTTCCACCTCAGATCATCAGGCATTAATTAAATTCTCATAAGGAGCGCACAACCTAGATCCCTTTCATGCACAGTTCACAATAGGGTTTGTGCTTCTATGAGAATCTAATGCCACCGCTGATCTGATAGGAGGCGGAGCTCAGGCTGGAATGCTCGCTTGCCGGACACTCATATCCTGCTGTGCCGCCTGGTGCCTAACAGGCCCAGGACAGGTAGCTGACCACAGCCCCAGGGGCTTGGGGCCCCCTACAACAGACCAAATACTACACGAGGCAAACTTTTTAGAGTTCTGAAACATTTTGAATTTCCATTGCCTATAATGGTTTTGCCACCTGCCCACACATATACATCTTGTTGCTATATAGGTGGGCGTCCACAGCCATAAGCAATGTTGTAGAGGGACCAGTCCCCTCACAGACACTTAGGGGCCACAGGTATTACCGATCAGCGTGTGTGGTTCTGTAGGGAGATAACACCGAGCACCGTCCTCATCTTACCCGCTCCTCCAGTGGGGTCCGGGCAGCACCCCTCATAAAAATGATCGCTATTTCCACAGGAAGAGGAAATCACACTCTCAGAAAGTGGACTAAGGAAAGACTTCCGGTGGCCTCACGCCAGTCCAGATCTGCCTCAGCAGAGGGACGGGGCCTGCAGGGCTTGATCCACGTTGCTGCAGGCCTCCTCTCTCTCCTCCCCTCTGCACATCCTCATTCTCATCAAGGTTTCTCTAGGCTTTCTTAAAAATGCCTTCCGTGTATCTGTTCTCCTTCATCTTCCTGAGAGCACAGTGTATCAGACTCATCACTGATGCCTGGCTTCATACATGCCCCCAACTGCTATCTCTGATTCTGCCATCTTCACACTACCAATTGTCTCAGCGATTTTATTGCCCAGAAGTCCCATTCTTTCCACGTCCCTACTCTGCTTCTGAAAACTCTCCACTGCACATTATGCAACTCTCCCCCCTTGCCCTGCCTTTGTGCTCCTTCTAACTTCTGTCCCATGTTCCTATCCAGCATCACCTCTCACCACTCCCTCATACAGACTCTTCCCTGGAGTCAGGCTGGCTCCTCCCCGGCACAGCCCTGCATGGTGTCCCTTCCAGCTTCTGGGACTTGGTGCCCCTGAGCCCTTCACTCCGCCTCATGTGGCTTCCTTAGCTGCTCAGGGCACAGTTTACTGATCATTAACCATCACTCAGGACACTCAATGCGACTTCATGGTAGTTCATATTGGGCAGTCGGGGAAACATCTCAAAAGGACAAATCTGGTTGGGGAAGGCTGGTCAAACCCAGACTTCCCATTCTTGTCCTCTGCATGTGTGATTTAGAATCAATGTCTAGGAATGTTTTTAATTCTAACTACTTAATTTCATTAGGTCCTCTTATCTCTCTTTTCCAGAATACGAAGTCTTCTTAAAATTATACTGTGAATATTGTTTGCATTTTCAGGAGAAAATGAAAAACATGTTCTCAAACTTCTGAAGTACTCTACATATTATTAGCTGAGCAGGTGGGGAAAAGTCCTAATAAGTGATCAAGTTATGATTTAGGTTGTATTCTCGCTGATTCTACTGTGACTTTCCCTGAAGCGAGAGGATGGGTGGAGCACATCAACTCCAGCACCACTGCTGGGGTCACAGCTGTGAACAGTACAGACTCTTCACGGGTTATCATCGGAACCCACACACAGATGCCTCCTGGTATAATTGAGACAGTGCATTCATGCATCTCAGCCTGTCTGCATGGATGAATGTGGCCTCTCCTGGCCTATGTTTCATGACGCCCTGGCAGAGCTGGCCCATATCACAGGCATCTCACTTCTGAGACATGTGTCTGAGCATTTCTCTTCCTCCTCATGGGAGCCTGGTCCTGGCTGGGGTCTGAGACAGAGCCCAGTAACTTTACAAGGGCTCCAAGACTGCCATGTTAAGAGCAGAAACCCACATGATACAGGGTGGGAAGAGACCAGCACCTTTCATTCCCTGAGAGCCTTCTGGAGCTGTAGGTCCCCCTGGAGGGACTGGAGGAGCCACCGGTTCTGCTCACAGACAAAGTGCACCAAGGTATTTATCACTGGGTTACGCACGTGAGGGGCTACAGAAGTTCTTTGTACCAGACCAGCAAATTTTGTGTTTCAGCTTGAAATTATTTCCAACAAATTTGCTACAAAGGGAAAATGCTTGAGCAATCATCCTAGCTGAGTCTCTGAGAGATCCCACTGTAGAGAAATGACAGCAATTGCACCATGGAGTCACGCAGACATGGCGCCCATGTTCTCACTGTGACTAGTCGGGGCATCCTGGGTGAGCAAAGAGAACTTGCTGAGCCTCAGCATCCTCAGCTCTAACATGGAGATGCCACCACCCACTTGCGAGTGCCCCATGAGCACTGAATGGTTTATAGCAAGGACAGAGCTTGCTTGGCCAGGGGCAAGGCATATAACAGGTGCAAGGGCGATGTGTATTTTATTTCATTTTATGAATTGCTGTGGGCCGGCTGCGGTGGCTCACACCTGTAATCCCAGCACTTTGGGAGGCCGAGGTGAGTGGATCACATGAGGTCAAGAGTTCAAGATCAGCCTGGCCAACATGATGAAAACCCATCTGTACTAAAAAAATACAAAAAAAATTAGCCTGGCATGCTGGCAGGTGCCTGTAATCCCAGCTACTTGGGAGGCTGAGGCAGAAGAATCACTTGAACCCAGGAGGCGGAGGTTGCAGCTAGCCGAGATTGCGCCACTGCACTCCAGCCTGGGCAACAAGAGTGAAACCCCGCTGTCGTGGGGTGGGGAGAAGGGGGAGGGATAGCATTAGGAGATATAGCTAATGTAAATGATGAATTAACAGGTACAGCACACCAACACGGCACATGTATACATATGTAACAAACCCGCACGTTGTGCACATGTACCCTAAAACTTAAAGTATAATAAAAAAAAAGAAAAAAAGAGCGAAACCCCATCTCAAATAAATAAATAAATTGCTGTGATCCTACAAAAGCCTTTGCTTATTTGAAACTCAAGGGGAAATGAAAAACACGAAAGAGGATGGTTCCAGCAGGAAAGGTGTTTACTGACCAAAATAGAATGGAAGACAAAAGTTTCAGTCACTACTCTCATGACAAAATATTCAGATGGGGGACACTACAGAGTTACTTGCTCTTTCTACAAGAGTTTTGATGGGTAAAACTAACAATCCACCTGAAATTCCCAGAATAATGGTACAAAAAAAAAAAAACAGAATGAATGAGAAGAAAAGAAAATTGTTTTTTTTCTTACACACCCTATGAAACAGCGACCTCAAGGGGCACTTGCTCACAGGAAGGGTTTGCCGGAGATCATGGGGATGAGAACCACTGTGCTTTGCTCATCAGTTAGGCCAGCACCTGACCAGGGACACTAGCTGTTGATGGTTTACATGAGAACATAGCACTGAGACAACACATGATTGAAACCACAAACCCACACATGAAAGAAACCACGGGGCTCTACAGAGGATGCAAGCCATGGCCATGCACGGAGGAAGGGACGCTAACTGCTTCAGTGGAGGGAAGCCACCTCAGAGGAGGTAGTAGAGAATCTGGCTTGAAACACAGGAATCACGAAACAGCCCTCCAAAATAATGGGAGAAAACTGCTGGCACAGGTGGATGGCCAGAGAGAAGGGTGCTGTTCAGGATATGTGATGAGAAGGGCACTGTTCAACATAATGTCTGAAAAGAGAGATGCCCTATCTTAAGGAATGAAGTCTGTTATATAAAATTCTCCAGGTGAGCTGTTGCGGCCGAGAGTGTGCAGTGATCCCTCATCATTCCCCTCTCTGGCCTGTTTTGATACCTACAGCCTGCTCTTGTGAGAAGGGGTAGGGTGACAGAGGAATCACCTGCCACAAGAGAAAGGGGTTCCACCCATTGAATGTCTAAGCTTAAAACTGGATCCAAGAACCAGATTCAAAACACTCTGAATTTACAGGGCCTGGTTGCAGAGATGATCCATCTCACCTGCACAAGTTACAGGAAACAGAATATATAGAGGCTGCCTGGGAGAACAGCTTTGTGACCTTCAGGCTGGAGTACTCACAGGCTACATCGAGAGCAGAGCAGGCAAGCTGATCCTCCAATGAGCACAACGTGCTGCTGTAAGGCTGCTGGCAATCAGAGAGGTCATGGGGAAGGGAAGGAGTCAAGTAAATTTCATCCAGACAGTCCTGCGGGGGGTCCTGCTCCTCCACCTCTGGCAGCTCCGGGCTCAGCCTGGTGGGTGAAGAACACAGAAGATAAACATCAAAGGGAAGAGAAACCACAGTGCCCAGCTAGTTCTACAGAGAGTCTGACAGGAGGGGCCAGAGGAAGCAAAGGATAGTCCCCTCAGAGAGAGAACAATCCTTCTCTATCTCCAGCAGGAGAGAGAGCAGCAGGTGCTCAGTGTCCTGGGTAGACAGTGAGCTGGAAAGAAAGGAGACGGAATGATCCCTGTACCAAAGAGCTGTGACATGGCACACGCAACAGGCCCCTGTGTCTTCGTAGACTGATAGAGTTACTGTGACCTCAACATCTCTTGTTCTCAAAATTTTAGCATGATATACATTGTTTGTATTTATATTCCTGCTCCCAAATATTTGCAAATATAAAGGGAAAGAGGCAGATATCAGATGAGCATCTCGAGTTCACTTTAAGCCAAAAAGACTTAAAGTGAAAAGGAAACTGCAGAAAATGTGATTGATCGGTTCAACCAAGTCAACTGAATAAAGATTAGTATAATTTTGAAGGAATTAACAAGAGAAACAGATACAGGTGTAAAATGAAAAGAGGCCACTTCATTAATATTCACCAGTAATATTAATTTTAACTAATAATCCTGCTTAATAATTATTCCACATTGATAATCTTAACATTGCTAATATGGCTATTTCATGGTTGGCTGAATGAATGAACAGGTATGTTCTGTTTTCCCTGGATCTGGCATCTCCAGATGTCAACAGTAAGTTAAATGTCCACAATTACTCAAAGTTACCTGGGGCATGGTGAGTCTTGATCTTCTTCCTCTTCTTGATCCTTTTCAATTTCTGCAATTAGTCAGACAGGGACAGACACATTAAGATGATTCCCCTATTCATGTAACAATCCACTGTCCAATCCTAAAACAGGAATATCAGTCTCCTTGGCATGAGAACAGGACACTGTGACAGATATACTTTATGAGGCCTGAGGGTCTGTCCTGACAGAGATTCCTTTGTTTTCATCCCTGAGCCTATGGGTGAAGTATTCCTATTCTGGTACATCGTTATCCCAATATCATGTGTCCCAAATTTGTGCAAAGGGTTATGCAATATTTTTCCAATCAATTTAAAGCAAATGCCCCAAACAATTTCTAGGAGAAAAACTGCAGTATTCAGCCCTGTCTCATCAAATACCCAGCTTGTTCCTGGTTGCAAGGATTTTAGACACTGAAACTAGAATGAAGGAGGAAATCTACAAATCCATGAGTCAAAATCACAATTGTGTGAATTTGTCACATCTGCCTGGGTCCAATGTCTTGAGAGTGGGCACAGGTGTGGTGGTGAACACTTGTGGTCCCAGCTACTCAGGAGGCTGAGGCAGGAGAATTACTTGAATGCAGCAGGCTGAGGTTGCAGTAAGCCAAGATCATGCCACTCCGCTCCAGCCTGGGCGACACAGTGAGACTCCGTCTCAAAGAAAAAAAAAAGAAAAAGAATCTGCGATGCTACAAAGAAACATCACATCAGCCATTGATGGGGTGGAGAACCAGGGCCCAGCCTTACTTTCTGGAAACATATCAGCAAGGTAAAGAAGAAATGTTTCCGTCCAGGTTTCAAGGTGACTGTGCAGCTAAGCAAGTTAACTTAAAGGAAATAAAGACTGAAGCTGAGAACACTGAAACCTGGGGAACAATATCTCCAAATACAAAGGAAAGGCTGCCAGTTTCCTTAAAAAGGAATAGAAACTCCATGGACATTGTTTAGGGACAGATGAATAATTACACGTGATGAGAGATACTGAATCAAAACTGGGAGGCCTGACAGGTACTTCCTTCACACCTCCTGCACTCAGGTGAGTATGAGTTTGTCACTCAGTAACTTGATACTGGGCCCAGGGAGACAGAGGCATGACATGGGTGGAGCAGGAGAGGAAAATTCCCTGATAAATGTATTTAGTATCCCATCCTAGTTTTTGATTCAAACCAATTTGTGTGTATAGAGCCTATCTTCAGAGTTGATCTTCCTCAGCCTAGACAGAGGTACCAGGGACAAAGAATACAGAGGCTACCTGGGAGAATGTTTAGAGCTTCCTCCCCTTCATCATGAGAAGGTTCACTGTCTACAACCAGCGCAGAGTCAACTTGGTCTTCCTCAAATGTGATTTTGGTTTTCCTGTGAGGCTGGCTGGAGTCAGAAGGGCCGTGGCTATTTGAACAGGTGAGAGCACATTCCTCCAGTAAGTCCTCCGGGAATTCCTTCTCTTCAGCCTTCTGTACCTCCCTGATGAGCCAGGTGACACAGACATGACAGAAGATTAAATAGAGAGGGATTGGACTCCAGGGAGTCCTAGCTAGTTTTGACAGGAGGCATAAGAGAGTGGTCCCAGAAAGCAAACAGGAGGTTCCCTTTAAGAGGGAACAGGCACTCCTCCACTCTCTGCAACAGAGCATGGCTGCTATGGGAGCCAAAGAGGAAGACAGTAGTTGGTGTTCATTGTACTGGGCAGATAGGAGCTGAGAAGGATGGAGACTCAATTATCCCTGTATGGTACAGGCATGACACTCAGCACATGCAGAGAACCATAACAGCTGCCACATCCTGTGTCTAAGCTGGGTTGAATTTAACATACTGTGGTCAGGGGAATGCAGGCTTTTGGCCCATTGTAGTTGCCAGAGAGGGTGTGCCTCCTAGACCTTTTTCATATTTTACCATCCATTATTTACCGGGGGAACCCACCCCCGATAGTCAACGTGGGTTCTTTTCTATTTCCCTAAGCATAGGCTGGTCTGAGAAATAAAGGGAAAGAGTACAAAAGAGAGAAATTTTAAAGCTGGGTGTCCGGGGGAGACATCAGATGTCAGCAGGTTCTGTGATGCCCCATGAGCTGTAAAACCAGCAAGTTTTTATTAGCAATTTTCAAAAGGGAGGGAGTGTATGAATAGGGTGTGGGTCACAGAGATCACATGCTTCAAGGGTGACAAAAGATCACAAGGCAGGAGGTCAGGGCGAGATCACAAGGTCAGGGCGAAACTAGAATCACTAATGAACTTCCATGTCCAGCTGTGCACGCATTGTCATTGACAAACAAGGTTCAAGAGCAGAGAACCAGTCTGACTAGAATTTGTCAGGCTGGAATTTCCTAATCCTAGCAAGCCTGAGGGCGCTGCAGGAGACTAGGGCGTGTTTCATCCCTATCTACATCTGCATAAAGGCAGACACTGGCAGAGCAGCCATTCAGAGGCCTCCTCTGGGAATGCATTCTTTTCCCAGGGCTGTTAATTATTGATATTCCTTACTGGGGAAAGAATTCAGCAATATTTATCTTACCTGTTTTTGGTAATAAGAGAAATATGGCTCTGTTCCACCTGGCCCACAGACAGTCAAACTTTGAAGTTATCTCCCTTGTTCCCTAAAAATCGCTGTTATCCTATTCTTAAGGTGTCCATATTTCATATTGTTCAAATACACATGCTCTACAAACAATATGTGCAGTTAATGCAATCATCACAGGGTCCTGAGCTTACGAAGATGATGGGATTAAGAGATTAAAGTAAAGACAGGCATAGGAAATCACAAGAGTATTGACTGGGGAAGGGATAATGTCCATGGAATCTTCACAATTTATGTTCTTCTGCCTCGGCTTCAGCCGGTCCCTCCGTCCAGGGTCCCTGACTTCCCACAACAATTATTGCTTGTGATTATTCAGTGTTACCTGGGGGCGCATGATTCCCGTACTTTCTCAGCCTCCTCAACGTAAACATCGTCATCCACATCTTCATCATTTTCTGTGAATACAGAAGTGTTCGTTCAGATATTTCCTACTTCACACTCTGCAAGCACAGTCAGCCCAATGTGCACAGAGACATGAACATCTAGGCATGAGTCACCGTTCAACTGAAAGCTCTCATGTTTTATCTTTAACAAAATGCCCTGGCGTCGTTTCCTGATCCATCAGGCAATGCATTTCTGATCTGGAGGGCCACCATCAAGATATGGCCAAATATTGAAAACACCTTTTGGTCCCCATATCACTGGAGGCTTGTGCAGCCTCTCTCTGGCCTTTGGCAGCTGTCTACCCCATCCCGCCACAGATCTGATTCCCAGGCACGGGCTTGGTGTCCTGTCACAATTCACATTTAGAACCTAATTCTTTCTCTTAGGAGAGGACAAACAAACTTGTCCCACAATCTTCTATACATCAGGGGACTTCACCGGCCCTCCAAGTGGCTTCTGCTGTGTTATTCAGGGACATTCTCTGCATGGGGAGTGCTCCAGTCTGAAGCCTTTCCTACCACCAAATGCCCCCACATCAAGTGCCTTCTCCAACACCACATGGCGAGGGGCTTCATCTCATTTTGAAAAGCAGTTGTAAGTGTTCCACATTTGGATGCTTCAGGCCCTTGCAAGAGACAATTTGCCTGCCTTTGCAGATGGAGAGAAACCCAGGGAGGATAAATCAATCATTCACCAACAGTTACTAAGGACATTGCTGAAGATAGAGCCTGGGAACCTTCATTCTTAGTCCAGAGCTCTTTTCACTCTAACAAGTGCCTTCCCATCACAGCCTCCTTCCTGTCCTTTAAAACTAGACAGATACTGCCTCTTGTTCCAAAGACCACCTTCCATCAAGGAAGGAGGGATATTTGCAATACTGTGACCTCCAACCCCATGGGTTTCCCAGCTCTGTTCTTACCCAGGAAGTCCTGGTCATGTCATGGCCACATATGTTTAGTGGAAAAAAACACCACCAATACAACTGTCATTGTGGAGGTCTGGAGGTCTGGAGTCTCTCACAAGCCTGGGGTTTTGGGTCATCAGGGCCTGTGGCCACCTTACCTGCGCTGAGTTTGTGGATGAGGTTCTCTGTTAGCCTGCAGCCCTCAGCCAGCTGCTCTCGGAGATCCTGCCCCTGGGAGTTGTCAGGCTCATCCGGAGTGAGGAGGGCCTGGAGATGCTGATTCAATGAGCGGGAGGCATCGCTCCCTTCCCGTAACTTCTCCCTTAACCGGGCCAGCTCTCGTGACTGAGAGTGAACCAGGACTTTATATTGCCTAAGGTGACACAGTAGAGAAAATTTAGTAGTGGAAAGGGATGAGTGATCAGTTCTAATACTGCAACAGAGATTTCGAGACAATGTCCCCAAGGAGACTTCCAAGCAGAAGGTCAACACATGTTTGGGGAAATGCCTGTGACCAAGAGAAAAAAAATTTTTTTACAGGTTTCCTCTATATCAGAGAGTGCAACTGAAAGATCCTCGACAATGCTGCATTCATCTTTCTCTTTTGTAAACAAAAGTAGGTCTTTCTAAATCAGTTTCAAAAAGACATCCTTTCAGTTCCTCACCCTGGCCACGGACATTTCCATGTGAAAATACACATAGTGCATCTTGCGGCGATAGATACAAAGCCATGTACAGAAATGAGGCTGGGTGCAGATGGGGCAAATTGAAAAGACAAAAGAAGAAAAGAATGACAGGGTCGAGAGGCAACGTTGATTGAGTGAAAGAATGAGACGCCGCAGTCAGTCAGGAGGTAATTGTGACTAAGGGTAAGTGGGGTGGTGATGGCGCACCATTTTGAGTATACTGAATGCTGCTGGGTTGTTCCACTCCTTTGGTTAATTTCGTGTTATGCAAGTTTCACCTCAACAGTTACTTGTTTGAAAAAGAGAAAACAAGGTTCTGAGAAAAAACTGCAACCCATAACTTATTATTATCCTGTTCTCTGATAAATATTTGTGTGTCATGAGCCTGCCATGGCAATTCCTGCCCTTCCCCTGGCCCAGCTTAGCTCTTACTTCTCCCCGCCGAGCTGCTGTCCTTCAGAGATTTACACACCTGCCCACCTGCCTGCCCCCACGGGGCCCCCTCACCTGAGCTCCTCAGCTTGCCCAAGCTGCTCTACAAGCTTCTCCTCCTTGACCTGAAGCTCATCCCTCAGCATAGATTTTATGAGGTCTTTGCACTCTTCATACTCTGAGAAAAGACAGACACGCCTGCCTCAGTGGAAGACTGGACATGCTGCTGTGGTCACTGCCTACAAGGCAGGAGGCAGGTCCATCCCAAGGACAAAACTGTCCCCAGTACCCGGCTCTAGGCAGGGATTTCCACAACTTTACTCTTCGGTCTCCCGACTTTCTGGCATCTGATCCTCCAAAATTTAGAGATGAAGAGAGAGAAACTCAAGGGCACACCAACTAAGTTGACAAGATGATTCAGCCACAATGAAGTGGAGTCAGAATTCACAGCCCCTGAGGTCTGACTCTGAATCCTGGGCCACTTTCCCAAGCCTTCAGCCTCTCCTGTAAACACTGCGCTGGGCCATGAAGTGATTTTCCGTAGAGTCGGGAAGGCCCCTAGGACTATGGGACTGATGGTTTCCCTTTTACTGGGAATTTCAAGCACAACTATGTCAAAGATTTTAAAAATACTATCTGGATAAATTGCATAAAATATGAAGCATAAGGCCATAAAGCCACGAAGGAAATATGCCCAAATACTAATCAAGTTTCTGTTAAGTTAGAAACAGTAGAATGAAGAACTAATAGTGCTTACTCTGTGCCAACAACTGTTCCAGGAGGTTTACAAGAAACAGGTCATGTAATTCATTGCAGCAACTTATAGAGGTAGGTATTATTATAGTACCCTATGGATGGATGAAGAAGCTGAGGAACAGAGAAGGCAAGCAACTTGGATGGAGCCCAGGACACTGGCCCAGGGTCCCTGCTCTACACACTGCTACCTTCACAGAGTCTTGGGTGCCATCTTTCTTCCTCTTTAGGAACAAGAGCCAGTGCCCCAGGAAGCAGGACTTCCCTCTCACCAGGGTACTCCCGCCTCTTGATGCTGTCACTTATAGATACCACAGGTTCCATTAGGAGCAGAGTTCTCTTTAAGCTCCTCAGCAGGGGTACTGTGTACTAACACCACGTTTCCCCCAGGGTCCCCAGAACAGAGCTTTGCCTATTGGGCCTCAACAGAGACTTGAACTGAATGGAAGTTCATGAGTCCCAGACATTTAGACCAACAGACTAGACCAACAGACAAGTATGTCTGCAGAATCTTTTATGGTACAGAGAGGATTCTAGTAACATGATTTAGCCTCTTGCTGAGAAAACAGGTGGTGCTGTACAGGTGTCAGAAATCAATAACTGGGATTTGAACTCTAGTCCCACCGCCACCTGACTGCAAACATGGAAAGTTGCTAAATAATTTGGTACCTCTGTCTTCCAACCTTAACAAAATGTTAAAATTCCCATTTCTGTTTTCCTAGAAGTACGGGAAGGAAGAAATTATTTTTGATAGAGAGAGCATTTAGTTTCTCAGAGAGAAGACAGGACGTCATTCATCACTTTCGTGATGGTGAGCCTATAGATCTTACTGTATTTGTTCTGCCGGCTGGCTAGGAAGCAGGCCACTTGAGTTACAAGAAATTTCTCTTTGATGTTTCTGAACTGCTGTTTCTTCTCTGCCAGCTGGGGTCGCAGTTTCTCGTTGATTTCTAGAATGTTCATCTCTGCCTTCTCACTGGACCAAGGGCCAGCAGATAGAACCATGCTGACGTTTGTGGCAGAAGAGGTGGAGCCAGGGACTGGGGAGAAGAAACGCAAACACATGATGGGTTAAAAACTGGTGAAATCAAATAGGTATAATCAGGACTGAGAGATGTCAGTAACTGAACTTCTTAACTTACTGTTGAGAAAAACGTGATCACTCCCCACAGCACTTTAGAGTCCTTAACTGCGAAAACAAGGTTTGATGAGCTCAGAGCTGAAGGCACTGCCTGTAGCTCAGACTCTGACAAGAGTGAGGGAGGTAGCAGCCAGCGTGCCAGGTTACGGTCTGCAGTTGCAATAACAGAATTAGAAGGTGGGGGTGTCATGGAATCTTAGGAGCCCTGTGTTCCAATTGCCCAGGCTTTGCTGAAACACAGGCGCCATGGTCTCACCTGAGGTCACCACCGATGGGGATCAATCCTTCAGCATTCACTCTCAGTATATGTGTACCCTTGTGACAATGCCACAGACCCATCTCTTTCCCAGTACATCTAAGCATATTCCTCATTGTTCATCTCTTGTGTGTATAAAATCATCAAGGCAGAAATAGTTTCCCAACAGATTATATTTTCTACATGGTAGTCATGAAGTCACTCACTCCACCTTCTCTTATGTTAAAATAGAATTTAAGGCTTTTCCACAGTGTAAGATATCAAACTTTTGGACTGCCATGATATCCTGTGGGTCTTCTGCAGTTTTTTCTGTATTCACTAGAAAGTGAATGAATAATTCACTTTTTTAAAATGTTTTATTTCCTGTCTCAGTATTCTTCTTGCTGCATCCCATTGTTGATTTCTTTTTTCTTACTGGGGCACTATCTTGGCTTTTCATTACATTTAAGACCAGTTTGACATTCCTATGTCCAAAGCTCTTCCTCTGTGTGGGATGATTTGTTTTTTAATGTGACTGAACACTACATTTCATACTTGTCACTTATGGATGTCATTCTGGGCCCACGAGAGCTCTTTTCAAGGTATCAAGTGATCAAAATCATTTATACAGGGATCTCCTGAAAACACATGTGACCATCTATCTTGGGAAGTCTTGCAAACCTGATACTATTTTGTTGTTTTCATTCAGTTTGCCCATATATTGAAAAGAACAGGGCCATGAGCAGTTCTTATGGAATACTGCTTGATATATATTTTTCTGAGTTGGACTAACACCACTGATGTGTGGTTGCATTCCACTAACAGAACATGGCAACATCAAGGTCATGGTCTTGGTGATAGTAGTTGGTAGTTGATGATCCTCAGTGTTGCTGTGCAGTAGGTGAGTTTGAGGTGAGAGGAACGAGTAGGAAAGAGTGGTCCCCTGAACCACTTTCTCAGCTTTCATCCCCACCTAGGTTTTGTGAGCCTGGAACTTGGGAGACTGTTCTGTAGCCCGGGTCTCCTCAGTTTGGCTGCTGGACTAGCCTGAGTTGAAGGTGCAGTGGGTGTGACCCTGGGCTGCCCAGCATTCATGTGGAAGTGAAGGAACGAGGACTGGATCAATCCCATTTGAAAGCATCCCTCCCTGCAGCCCCCACCATCCTCCAGCTACACAGTGTAAGGATACTGCTTTGAGATCTATCAAAGGCTTTAAGTCAATGTATTTTCTGGTGTCTGGGAGACCTGACATTCTGTGGCAGAATGAAAATCTGTCAAGTTTTTTCATTTAAAAAATAATGAAACTGCAGGTTCACAAAGTTACGTGGCTTACTCGAGGTCACACAGGGATGAATTTTGAGCACTGCCAATAAAAGCAATCACAACAATTATTCAGTAATTATTCATGGGATACGTAAATTCAGTAAATATTTTTATAATTATTCAGTAATTATTCATTGACCAATTCGTACCAGGCATTTTGCTCAAAACTGCACATATTTGGACATCATATCTTCATCATAATCCTTAAGGTAATGCTATTATCCATAAGAATCAGCCAAGAAAGCTGAAGAAGAGGGATAGCAAATCATGTATTTGGCCATATTTCCATGTTTTTGGTTTTTGTGATGCTGGAAGAATGACCAGAATGAGTCACGGGAAGAATATACATTCCCGTATTATTTTCCAAGTCAGAGATGTGCCCTCCTAGAGTACTGGGACCAAAATTCAGAAGTGTCTGCAACCTCTCTTTAACAGTATGGGAAATAACCTCTATCACCTGGAATTTCCCTGGAACTTTGGAATATACAATAGAAGTATGAGACCTGGGTCTTCCCTTGACTGTATTTAATTCACTCTTCTATGGAATACCAATGATTCTCACTAAGACTTTTGCCTTTTTATAATCACAAGGTATGTTTTATGAAGAAGATTTTACTGTTTGCTCTATTTAGAAAGAATAAATATAAGCCATGGTTTAGGTTTTATGCCCTGGACTTAATATTTTTGTGATTTCTGTTTTGAGATTAAATTCTCATGTGAATAGAAAAATACCTGTTATTATTTATAAGAGCAAATTATTGGTTTGAGTTTTTGAAGTCGAAGCACAAACTTTTGATTTTATGTTTGTTTGTCCTCATCAGTGCCACTCATTGTCTCTTGGTATGACCTGGTTGTGCCCCTGCACTTACCTTTGTTCTGCTGAACCATTTCCACGAACTGTCCAATTCCATCAGTGATTCGGGCTCCTCCCAAGGCTGCCTGAAATGGGCACAGGGATCAGGACGTCAGACACAGTCCAGACACAAAGGCAACCCATACTGTAGAGCAGGCAGCTGTGTTCCCACTTCCTGGAGTTGGCAGCGATGTCCTAGGACAGGAAGGAATGCTTTCTCTTTTAATAGGCAGTCCGTTCTTCATGTCTCGGTGCCTCTCATCTAGTGAACACAACTGTCCTGAACATGAATGAACTTGCTAACTTTCTGGTTTCTTGCTAGGAGGCTAGAATAGATTTATAAGACTTCCTTATTTACCCATGTCTGCTGAAGTCTGAATTCTTAGCAGTATGATTCCTTTTCTTGTAAGGATCAGCTTAAGGAAGATCGGCCCCATTGCCATGCGAAAGAGGTAAAGTTAATTTCTACTCAAAGCGTACTTGAATTTGAAACTAGGTCTTCCACTGTTTCAAAGTTAGACTGTCACTGCCTCAGGCATGTGTCCTGAAGGGCTTGTGTCTCTGCTGTACTCAGGATAAAGTTATTTATCATCATGGCAAGTTATAATTAATTAGCCATAATATAATTAATTATCAAGATAAAGTTGTTTATCATAATGGCAAGGACAAATTTAGAAGACTTATTAAACTTACTTCTTTATTTCCCCAGCTGGCCAGGAAGTAGTCAGTAGCTACTGATATCATTAGTGTCCTCTGAATACCTTAGCTGTGTTAACTGCTTTGACTCCATATGGAGCTGAGGTGTTGGCATACTATACCTTGAGATGCTGAAATATGGCTGAAGTCCAGGATCACTGACCCAGGACAGGTCATCCAGCTGGTGGAAACCACCAGAAGGGGAACCAGGCCATCCACTGAGGTCATCTCATGTGGCATGGGCCACTGGTTCCAATGAACCCACCATCACTACACTTCTCATGACTCACTGGTCACTAGACTGAGAATTCTATGAAAGCTGGGATCCCATTTTACTCATCTCTCTGTTCACAGTTCTTAGCTAAGGGCCCAGCACGGAGGGGCCTCTCAGCAGTGTTCATCAATGATTGAATAAAAGTGATTGCAAACCTCCAATCCTCTCACCTACATTTTCTGTCCCAAATGTCTTGTAAGGGATGCTCTTTCTCTCAAGATGCTGCAAATCCCCTTCCCTGGAGAGGCACCTGCTTTACACCATCCATGCCCCAGGATCGTCCCCTGTGGAAGCTTAGAGAAAGACTGGTCTGTCCTGAAAATTTTCTCTTATGGTTCCCCCTGTCATTAGGAGCAATACCCTTTGGCATACCCTCCCATCCTCTGGGCTGCTACAACACCTCAGTTTGGTAGAACTACCATATTTTGTTGAAATGATCTGCTTGTGTTCTCCCACTCACTGGCTTGAGATCCTCTGGGGAGACATTAAATATCTGACTCCCAAGTACTTAGCACAGTATAAAGAAAATTAAATACCCAGTAAATATTTATGAGAAACCTCCCTCAACTGTAAGGACAGAAGAATATTATTAGTATCAGTGATTCATATACAAGCAAGGGACACTTACTCTGGCACCTGACCTAGGGCAGAGCTGTTTAATGTAAGAATGGATGTCTCCAACCCTTCTCCCAGCATGGTTATTCTCTCTAACCCACACTGACCTGAAGAGCATCCACTGCTACGGCAGCCCCAGGCTCAAGGCTCCTGGGTCTGGGGCGGGGGCTCATGGTGGCATCCTCCCCGTCTTGAAGTTGCTGCTGCCCTTCACTATAAACCAGCTCTGAGTCAAGAGAGTAAGTTTCTCTCTCAGTCCCACTGCTCAGCTCACGCTGCTCCCCGAGAGCCTGGATGATGGTGGGCATTGCCCATTTCCCCTGAAGCCTCTGACCCAATTTGTCCTTATTCTCCCCTTCTTTGGTTTCCATGTACCAATGGCTTGTCCTTTGTGGGTTGTTCTCATCCCCTAAACCTGCTGACTTTCTTTCTTTCATCTGTTCCCTCAATTCTGGGCTTCCAGGGTGTGGACTCAGCTCAGGCTCCTGCAGGAGACACAGAGTCAGGTCTCAGCTTCAGGTCCTGGGCAGCATTAAAAACCATCTCTGCTCCTCAGAGACTCAGAGAAAACACAGCAGGAAGGGACCTCAGAGAGGAACAATAAGCCTCTACCTTACTGACAAGGAAAGTGAGGCCAAGAAAGACCAAGACTCTCCCCGGCTCCCTCACCGCATGGTGGCAGCAGATCGACCAACAAGCCTTGGCCTCAGCCTCCAGGTCCAAAGCACCTAACTCACCCTCCAGGAACTCACTGCTGCGTTTCAGAAAACTTCGGATCAAAAATAGCAATTTCCACTGTGAAAACAAAAATAGTAAAAGGGCATTTCCTTGGACAAACCCTTTATCACGGTTCTGTAGTCCTAGTACTTATACTTGGTCAGTTGTCTTTCGCTGGCTGGTAGC